TTTAACATTTCCTCTTAAATAATAACACAGGAAGTTTTTTGCAATAGGATAATTTTCTCATAAAACTGTACACAATTGCCTTATACTTTATATATTAATATAAAACTGGGAGCTTAAACTCTCCATTTTTATTTTATTTAATCACCTACATCAGAAATATATTATTTCTTCAAATATTTAAAATATTACAGGGATGGTAAAACAAACACACAAATATGGTGTATCTAAATTTGTACATCAGTTAAATGTGTTATGTATATTTGGAGACACACATAAAATTTATGTTTTTATCTCCTTGCCTGCTAGGAATTATTTCCAGACCTACTATTTTACATCAGATCTTTATCAACAGTTTTCCAGTTGCAAAGACCACTGTATATATGTATTTCCCATAAGTATTAGAAACAAGAATATAATTTTGCTTGACTTGTACAACCCTCTGAGGGCTATGAAACTGCATTTAAAGAAATATTAACTAATGTCATTTGAAAGGTGATCTTTAAAATGCATCAGAAGTGAGTGTGGATGTGTGTGTGTGTGTAAGCGTGCACGCGTGCGTGTGCGCACATGCACGTCTGTGTGGTAGAAAGGTCTTGAAAAATAACTCTGTATTTGGGGGTGCTTCTGATGTTTACTATATGACTATTGGCCTTTTTTAAAAAATAAGATGCTCAGATATTTTGCCAAAATGTGCTAAAACAAAGTCACTCAGATAATATGAGCTAGTCTAGAGATTAATAAACCCTCCAATTTCAAAAGCTTATACAAATAATGAAATGAAAACAGATAATTTTCAGCCATCAAATATTTCAAGACTTCACTCTGTTTCTATGACATATTCATCCCATACGAAAGATTTGCTAAAGGGGTTGTAATGGCCTTCTGGGACAGGAAGAATAAGGTTTCTGGAGAAAAATGTTAAATTAATTTTGATGGTGATGCAAAGTTAAGAAAGGGTTGTTAAGGAATGGCTTGCTGCCACGGGGTGGGGTTTTGTTTTGGTATCCTTTTAGAGCTTGCAGGTGTTTGGCACTAGTTAAAATCAGGGCCAGCTGTGATATTTCAATAGTTCTGATATTTTCCTCCCAATAGTTCTCAGAAGTGATGCTTCAGGGTGATGTCTTACACCTGATACATTCAACTTGTGTGGTACAAATGTGAAGACTCTATTAAATAACACCAGTTTTGTGACACTCTTTGCCCTCTCTTCCCTACCCTCAGGTCATGGCATCAATGACAAAAACACTAATCAGAGGCTTCAATCACTCATAGTTTTTAATTGAGCAGTTTAATCAAAGATGGTATATGCTAGAATCACCAAATATACAGTCTTAAGCAAAGCCTAAAAGCAGAATGGCACATTCCCTTTTGATTCTCAGTGTAGACAGTGATGCTTTTAATCCCTCTCAGTGGTAAGATATATACCTATGTTTGCAGGAATTTGAATAGTTTCTATTAAAAGCTGCATTTTCTTTTAAGTTTGTTTGGGTTGGAAACCCTCAAACCACAATGTATTTCATGCGCATGTTCCCGAGGGTATGTTAAATAGGACCATACTGAGGTCATCTAGTAAGTTTCTGAAACTTTTTAAGAATTCCTTTAATGTACTGCACAATCTTGGCTTGATTAAAAGAAGATATTTTAAGAAAGCACTTGGAAAAATGACTGGCTATTAAAATCTATATGCAGATAATCTATATTATACATCTATAATGCACAGAACTTTCCACAGATAATTTGTCATTGAGAGAGAAAGACAATAAAACTCCCACTCTAAGGGTTCTGAATAAAAACTCCTCAGAACTTTCAGTAAATGCAGACCAATCCCCCTACACCCAGCCTGCAGTATTCTTGATTGACTTAACAGTGGATGCCTGTAGGATCACTTTAACTGTGCAAAGGTCTGTCACATATAATCAGAGGAAAAAAGGTAGACAATCTCTCATTTATCCAAGAAAAAAAAAAATCATCTGCTGTTTTGGTTGAATCGAAAAATCAAGTTACCTCAATCCATGAGACTATGATGAAATTGTTAGGCTAGAAATAGTTTCTACCATCAAGTACATTTTTGTTGTCTCCAAGTTCAAACCACAGATGAAATGCTGTTAATGGTCTACTTAAGAAGTAGGCACTCAAATTTTTCTGCCGTTACTTGAGTCTCCCAATCCTGGCTTTTGTTGTGGTTGTTAGACATACCCCTTTCACTTTATCAAAGTCTCCATTCCTACGCCATGTTCCAGGCCTTGTACTTCACCCAAAGCAATTTTCAGTTGAACTAGCAGCTGTGCTGGCACAGCGCACACGGAGAGTGGGCCACATGCGCCAGCGGTGTGTTCCCACATCTGAACAGAAGTGGCCGTTTCCATGCACCCAGGGCCAAGAAACTCTACAGCTCATCAGAGGCAAAACAAGGGAGGATACCTTAAACGGAAATCATACTTAGAAAAAACTTTTACGGAAAATGAAAAATAAAAGGATTTTCAATAATCAGAAATGAGGAAGGGAAGTTCTCTTCTTGGCATAGGGTTTGCAGATACATTTTTATAAAAGGATAGCAGAGTGCAAGCTTAACTTAATGATCCCCATCCCCAAAGCTACACTGGATTTTCCTCTATCCACTATACAAAGACAAGTAAAAGAAGTTAAACAAGAATATAACCTTAAAGGGCACCATCATAACCACAGCTACTACTAGGCATTGGCTGTTTACCATCTCACAATCCCTGTGCTGTTCCCTTCATAAACAGTATCTCAGATGCCATTTCACCATTTTACACTTAAGAAAACTAAAGTCTAGAAGTTTATAATAAACTGCCCACCAATTTTGACTCCATGGTCTTAACCATTACGTTACACTGAGTTCCCTCAGATCACCAAGGGTTTTCCAACCAGCCCTGAAGATACAGCTTGTCAGCCTCACTCAGGAGTACACAAGATGATAGTTATGGTGGGGAGGATTTTAAAAAGGGGAGGGGGGACTGCAGAGGAGCAACTTGATTATTTGGAAAACTTGCACATTCCAGAGTTAACCAACTCATTAACCAGTACCTTTCTGATAAATACATTCAAAATGGACTTAAATAGCAGGTACACATTGTGTACTGAATTTCTGCTAAGTCACAAGCACTAGATATATCATAAGTGTGTTGAATAAATGAATGAACTAAGTCATCACAGTTAGATGTCATTCTGAGGGTTTTCAAAAATAATCTGTTTTACACAAATGTACACAAAGGGCAGTAGAGACATTTGTAATAGTATGAAAAGCTGGTATGTTGACTTAGGTAATATAAATGTTCTCCATTTTGGAAAGTAGGCTAATGACTGAAAATATGCCATAGACCAATAACAAATTTTTGTAGTTCCAAAAGAATTGACATGCAGAGATTAAAGTACTTACATTGAACCACAAGAGAAAATTAGGTATAAAAATTCTAATTATCCTATATTCACTTTGAACTAGCCAATAAAGTGAATTATTTTAAGATAGTGGGTGGGATTATAAATCTTTGTTTATCAAAGCCTAAAAAATAGGTAGTGTTAGAATATACTTAATATATTTTTAAATAATGTAATTATTTAAAATAATTCTTTGCTTTGGTGTCTTCATCTCTGATAAAACACAGATGGAGCAATAGAAATGATGATGGAGAAACTCTTAGGAAATATCTCCAGAGGAACGTACCCTCAAACTGAGGTAAACATGAAGTTCTACACACACCTCAATACATGACAGCTTCAAATGATGGCTTGGCCTCACTCAAAGTTACGAAGTGAGAAAAACAGTCCCCTGGTCTACGACATTCAGAGTGTGCACAATGCTACCTCCTTGTAAAGAATCACCAGGCATTCACCCACTGATGGTGTGGGGTCCCCTTCAGATGAATTCACATAGTACACACCAAATGGGCCCCTTTATCTCAGATACTTATTGACCATTATTGACCAATGTTTTAACATGAACAAAGCGTTGCCATACTCACAATCTTGGCAGAAAAATAGCACAAGCAGAATTCCTGAATTTGTTCACTTTTTTCCTCCAGTAAATGTAGTAACCATTAAATTTAAAATATTTCAATTTTCTTTTAAGCAGATATTCATGTAAGATAAAAGGCACCAAAGGTTTTCCAACAAAGGTCTCCTCCCTCAAAAGGTATATTCTATGTTCAGTAATTTATTTCTAAGAAAAACCCACCACTATATAAATATAAAGAACCCAGGAAAATATACCCCATAGTTTTGAATGTTGGAAACTGACAAGACAGTTGAATAATCACAATGAAAGCTTTAAAATGGAGTTCCTCTACTTTTGGGGATTAACGGATGAATCTGAGAAACGGTAAACTGCGTGTAGTTATACTGATTGAAGTAATAAAATCAAAACATTATTTTCACATCATCTAAAAATAATTACTTGAACAACGTTATAAAGTAAATATATTTTCAGGTGACCCTGTTCCTGGACCCCAAAAAGGAGCCTGATAAGCAATGTAGAGCATAAATATCTATCTGTGTAAAATTTATGCCTCACAAATAACACATATTCATCAAAGCAAACAAAGTCCTCTCATTTGCAGAATTAAATATGACTTGCTCTGTACACTTTAAGATAATCATATGATCAGAGGTAGACTGTAACTATGAAAGTTCTCATATTTCTTCCTACAAAGAATAGTCTCTGAGTACCCGACCCTGATATCTCAATTGTGTATATTTCTGTTTTTCAGGAAAATTAAATACCCTGGCCACAGAAACTTCATGTAGTGGCTAATGAAGAAATACAGTATATTAAATCTAACACAGACATAAGTATGCTTATGGACAGCCACTTCTAAGTTCTGGTTCTTTTTATCTCAGACCCACAAACAATTTTAATATAATGGTGAAAAATCACATTGTGTGACTTAAGCTTGAAATCAATGGCAAAGGTACCTTGATATAAGTCAATCTGGACAGAAAAGAGAGGCAAATGCTTGTGTTGTTAAACTTCAAAAACAAACCTGAGGTTCTGCAAATACATTCTTCATGTTGTTGATTGGGCCATACGGGACACCACTGCCTTCAAAAAGATGTAACCACTTGCTAGTTAGTTCTTCTTCAAACCTAAGACAAACAAGGATAAATTTTGTTACATAGGAAGGAACATAACACAGCCTCTTCTATCATGTGGTCCTCCTTCAAAGCAAGCAATAGTGACAAAAATATGTTTCCTAGTCTTTCTTTACACCTCATTTGAGAGAAGGTTGTCTGTATGAAATGACTTGAGTGGCCCTGTACGGATAAAAGCAGCTACCCAGGTGCTAGTGTTTAAAAATCCATCATTTACAGATGTAATTCTTCCTATTTCTATTGCTATGAATTCTCTGAGCAATTTGTGAATTTAATAATAATAATATCATTGTACTTTGAGCGTGAAGTCATTGGGCAATATGTCTTTTAGGTCTCAGGTAGTGGAAATCAGGTTAGGATAGGCACTGATATCTTATTCTTCAAAACAACAACAAAAAATACTAATGTAACTGTTTTAAGAAAGCTTTGGGAAAAGTATGCAAAAATTAACGGTCACAACCATTGGCCTACAAACAACCTTTACACTGTGATTTACTAACCAGCACAACTGAAGATATGCAAAGAGTGATATTTCAATTCAGCCAACAAAACTCAAATTTATCCAAATCCTTTGTCTGTTTTATTTCTGCTATAATTTAAAATTGGACTTCACAGACAGAAAAGCATATGAATTTTCTTTATTTTCTCTAATAGGTCTTAAGGAAGGGAAGCTAACACATTTATGAGATTTATTGTTTGACATTTCTTCCCTGTAAAAACAGTGAACACAGAAATAAAATCTTGGATCTATAGGGACACCCCAACACAATTAGTTTCTAATGAATGAAGATTTTCAGAATTATTGATTATTAAAATGTCAAACCTGTTCTAATTAATAATCTAGGTAGCCATTTTTAAAATATTAGCCAACGTAGACTAAAATGTTTTACTAATATGGAAGGGCTAGTGAAACAATAGTAGAATATTCATGGACTTTTCTTCGGTTCTCCTGTACATAGCGAAAATTAACTTCAAATCTGCAGACTCCAGAGGAAACTGTATTAGATAAATGTACTTCTTTCACCATTAAAAAAAAAATACATATATATAGGAATAGCTTCAGCCAGGCGCGGTGGCTCACGCCTATAATCTCAGCACTTTGGGAGGCAAAGGCAGGTGGACCACCTGAGGTCAGGAGATCCAGACCAGCCTGACCAAAATAGTAAAACCCTGTCTCTACTAAAAATACAAAAATTTAGCCAGGCATGGTGGCTGGTGCCTGTAATCCCAGCTACTTGGGACGCTGAAACAGAAGAATCCCTTGAACCCGGGAGGCAGACGTTGCAGTGAGCGAGGTCGCACTAATCGCACTCCAGGAGTGGGCAACAAGAGCGAAACTCCATCTCAAAAAAAAAAAAAAAAAAAAGAATAGTTTCAATACTGAAGGACACTTAATTGATTGCTACATAAGAGAAGAAATGAAAAACAAGAAATAAAAAGAAAAAATGGAATAAATATATGTTCCAAAATAAGGCTACTATATGAACAATGATGTTCAATCATGTAAGTTTTTACTTAAGGATATAATAAATATTTCTTTATAAAGGTAGTATTACATTTCACTAGGAAGCTAATCAATCTTATCCACACATTCATTTACTGATTACCCACTATACACCAAGTATTGATTTTATTTTTAAATATATGCCTTCCATTTTCTCTCCAATTCTATGGATAAGGATTTTTTATTATACATTTTAATTTCAGCCCAATAATGTTAACTACCCCTATTTAGTACACAATAAAATACTTCATTTCTGCATATAGTTTTAAAAAATCTTTCATAGGAATAACAATGCAAGGTTAAATGTTTGGCTCATCAATTCTTCACATTCTTACTTTCTTTTCAATGACTATTACAGTCAACTCCTGGCCAAGGCTTCCTAAAATATATATAGATATATATCATCAGAATGATATATGCTGAAAGAACAAGAGATACTTTGAACCTGGAGCCTTTTCGATGAGGGCGTCAATTACTTAAGTTTTCATAGATGGAGCATTAAAACACTTAGCCTGATAAATTTTCAAGACAACAGAATTTATCACCACTGGACTCACCAAAGTGGCCTGAAAGATCTACACAGCAAATGCATGTCAATATCCAAACAACCCATGGCTGCAGGTTAGCCAACAGAAAACTCAGGGGAATAGCTGAAGTTTTAGTATTTATATAAGCTTTTCACCACTGGGCAAAAAAGAGGGATTTATTTCATGTTATGGAAAACAACGGATGCACTCTGGAAATGAGACTGCGGGAGCTGCAGTTGTGACCACTGTTTGTGTCTTTGCGTGGGTGTGGGTGTGGAAGGGTTCTGAAATGCCATGAACTCAATCAGAGAGAGACAGAACATCGTTGCATTCCACTGCTCTCAGAGGACATATCCATCATTTTTTTCTAAAAATCTATCTCTTGATCTAAATCGGATGTGGAATCCTTTATGCAAAAAGCTGTAAGCACATGTTTTTATTAACCACAAAAATTCTGCTAAAAAATTTTTAAAAGCTGATATAAATCACTGAGGGCAATAGATTCCAGAAGATAAGACAAAAAGGGTGTCCTCAGATCCAGCTTAGCAAGTGAAGCTAGGGCCTTCACTGGGAAATTATTTGGAGACTCATGAACAATTCAAATGTAATTGGCAACTTACTAAATCAACACATATATTTCATTCTAGATTTTTGTAAATTCACTTAATGTTGGGAATGAGTATTATGAATCAAATGGCATCATTTAGATAGGTGAAGCACAGCTGATGTTAAATTTCCTAACATCAAAATTCCACTTAAGAAATGAAACATTCTTCTCTTTATAAAATGAATTAAAGTTGCAAATGAGACAAATACAAGACCAGAGAGAAACTAATAAGAGATCTCAGCCATGAAGGTGAGAGTTGGAAATAATTGTGACATTAGTGACAACTAAATGCTGGTTATTAAATAGTTTAATCTATATTTTGTCAATTTTATCTTCACAGTCACGCTATACGATATTATTCTCATTTGACCAATAGGAAACTCAGGTTCAGAGAAATTGACTTGCTCAAATTTATACAGGTTTTAGAGTCTTAGAGTCAGATGTCATGTTTAAAGCTGAGATTGCTTAACTCCAAAACCACGTTCTAACACATAATGACTGTAGCAGAATACATTCGGAATGCATAGCTTCACATATTTTATTCATTATATATGGTCACAGCTAAAAAATGAAGGAGCAGAGGTGAAACTGTTCATTTTTTGCACTAATAATATGCTTCTTCACTTCTGTCTTATATACCTCAGTATATATTATTACATTAATACACATGCATTCCCGATGCTTTTAGCAAGAGTTTGTTTTGCCTCTGCCACGGAGATTGCAATAAAAAAGACAGTCCCTGTGTTAAGAGTTCATATAGTCTAATGGAGAACACAGCTGTGAAAAGAGAGGAATTACAATGCAGGATGCTGAAACGAAGATACGAAGAAACAACTTATGGTTTTTTCTTCAAAAAAGAGGGAGACTTGCACTGGAACCACGGATGCGGGAAAGGGTTCAAAAACAAGGCGATATTTGAGCCGAGTATTGAAAGGCAAGTTAGAATTAGACATGTGAAAGATGGGAGAAAGGCTCTTCCAGGTAGAGAGAGCAATATGTACAAAGATCTAACTTGGAAAGAATCTGAAATCTCCTGTGCCCCAAGTGGCAGAAGATGAAATGTGACAGAGAGTTTAGAACCAAAATGCGATGTTCCCCTTCCCAAGTCCAAGTGATCTCATTGTTCAGTTCCCACCTATGAGTGAGAACATGCGGTGTTTGGTTTTCTGTTCTTGTGATAGTTTGCTAAGAATGATGGTTTCCAGCTGCATCCATGTCTCTACAAAGGACACAAACTCATCCTTTTTTATGGCTGCATAGTATTCCATGGTGTATATGTGCCACATTTTCTTAATCCAGTCTGCCACTGATGGACATATGGGTTGATTCCAAGTCTTTGCTATTGTGAATAGTGCCGCAATAAACACGTGTGCATGTGTCTTTATAGCAGCATGGGAAGGGGAACATCACACACTGGGACCTATCATGGGGAGGGGGGAGGGGGGAGGGGGGAGGGACTGCACTGGGAGTTATACCTGATGTAAATGACGAGTTGATGGGTGCTGACAAGTTGATGGGTGCAGCACACCAACATGGCACAAGTACACATATGTAACAAACCTGCACGTTATGCACATGTACCCTAGAACTTAAAGTATAATAATAAAAAAAAACCCAAATAAATGGAATTAAGTATGCTTATGGTCAAAAGTGGGTGGACAGGTCAAAAGTATGTGAATGTGACTATTTGATGAGTTATTTTATAGTATGTTCAAAATTTCTCACACTCTAATTTAATTATATATATATATGTATTTATTTGGCTTGCTACTCATTAAATCTATTTTGGGCTTATCAACAGACAGTTGATTAAATCATTGCTAATTATATAATGTAATATGCAATTTATTGTAAGTATGAAGAGTTGCTAAATAAAATCTTAAAAGGTATATCATCATTCAAACAAGGATGAAGATAGAAATCCTATGTTTACTGCTTCCTTTAAAAATTTGCTTGGTATATGGAATAAAAAAGATATTATTTAAAAAAAAAAAAAAGAACCAAAATGCAAAGCAACTTGTCTGCTATGCTAAGAATATTGGATTTCTTCTTGCAACAAGGAACTCAGAGAGGTCTTTAGGCAGGGGACTGACCTACTCAGCACTAATGCAGACAATGGACTGATGTAGATGAGACTAGAGATGTACGACTGATGTAGATAAGAAACTTGACAGGAGGCAACATACGCTTTGCCTCTGATGCATCCCAAATCTGCCCATCAGTAGTATCTTCCATATTATTATTAATAACAAGTTCCCATTTGAAAAACAAGATCGTTTTCTAGAAATTTCCAATCCTTTTAATTACTCTTATTTATCTGTTTTCAATTCACCATCAATCCCGAGCCTCTGAAATC